CATAAGTATATTTTTTCAAGTATTTTTACATGACTAGTATTCTTTTTGGAAACTCCTGACTTTCAGTCCAATAAGCTTAAGACAATTATTGTAGGCTACTTTTCACTCCACATACTATGAAGGACTCTTACTTTGAAGCAGCTTTCAGTTAGTTGAATGAACTTTCTTCTATTATGGAAAATGTGACAGACCATACACTGTGTCCACCACAGGAGAAAACAGAGCCAACTCACTGTCACTCATGTGTAACCTGTCAGTGTCCTAATGATGGCGACATTAGATAAAGATGAGGCTGAAGATTCTTCACCAGAGACTGAATGACTGACTCACTGACTAAAAATAATATGAAAACAATGGCTCCTTTGGTTGATTCAATTAGTTTTTATGTCCATGTCTACAGTCTTTGTATCATATACATATTCACCAGATTCTACAGTCAGTCAGTCAGTAGGTTGTTTCAGAGTCATCCTAAATGTGGAGAAATACAAATATGTTGACATAAAAAAATGTACTTTTGAACACTCAAGTATTTTAAAATCAAGTTCTTCAGTGCTTTAACTGAAGTAAAAACTTAACTGAAGAACTTTTACTTGTATTGGAGGAATATTTGACCAGGAGGCTCTGAAGTTCTTAGGATAAAAACGTAGAACATTTGTGTCAGTGAATCCTTCAGCCAATAAGAATAAAGTGCCGTCGTCACAGAGGTGGTTCAGTCGGTGAAGCCAGTGGAGAGCAACTGCAAATGTATTGTAAGACTCGGAAAACTGAAGGCGCCTTGCTCCCGCGAGGTTTTCACGTCACATAACACGGTGACGCTGCGCAGCGCCGGCGTAAGTCGGACAAAATTTCTAAAAAGAATGCAATCTTTAGTCCATCATGCATCACGTCAAGTCAGCGCTGCGCAGCGCCACATAAAGTCAAACTTTAGGTCGAACGCACCTAATGTGAAGTCACATGGCGGCGACGTTGATCCAGCAGCCAATACAGCCTCTACGTAAGAGGTGGGCGTGGCTTGAGGTGCCACAGGTACAAATCACTTTTGCTCCACATTTCACAGATATTTGGTGCAAAAATCATGCTGAATATTCAAGTACTTGTAGTTATTGACTTGTGTTTGTGCAATAAAAAATATCCAAGAAAAAAATATAATACATTTTTTTACAATAATAAATTATATTAATATTATAATATAATTTTAATATAATATATTATTATCATAAAAATTATTTGTCAAAATATTTTACAAATGTGCAACTCTCATTGCATGAATTCACATACTGATTTGCTGATGTGCAAATTTTGTCCATGCCTTCACATTATTTGATACGGGTGTGAATGTGTTTTGCACCACATTCACTGCAGCAACTGTAGCAAAAATGTGAGCGTATGAGTTTCTTAATTTGTGATTTGTAAAACAGGGTTTGTGCACCTGCAATGAATAATTTGAGAAGGTGTAACTGTTGTGTTGTGTTTGTGGGAGAGAAAAAATCTACAAGTGTGCGACTCCTAGAGCATCTTTTCCCTGTGACCTCAAATTTACTGATACATGTGTTACTATTTTATACAACTACTAATTCCACCGTCATGGGTGCTCAGTTGTTTTGCACCAAAAATACCTTCATACAACACAACCAACATGAGCACTCATCTCAACCACTGCCAAGACCTGACAAAGGAATAGGACACAGACAAATAAAAGTAGCAAAGAGCCGGCTGAAGTGAGTTACTACTACATAAACCAGTGTGTGAGTTAAATAAATAACTGAAGAAACTGGAAATTCCACTGCGGCTGACCTACAGCCATGTTCCATAGTTAAAAGAAAGGGCTTTAGAAAATTGGTCACAGTGCTGGAGCTGAAATACCAAGTACCATAAAGAAAAACACTTCTCTGGTGTCATCACACCAAATCTCTACAGAGACACAAGGATGTTGTTGGAAGCTTGGACAGGTGGACTTAACACTGTCCTCAGAGCTGTATCAGTGAACAGCAAACATTATGTGGGGACCTGGGAGATGTCTGACCACGTCCTGCACCCTCACCCTCTGTTAAATGGCACAGGCCAGCTAATGTTGCAGAGGTCTTTAAACTGGCTGAAATGGAATGGGAGCTGGACAGGTGATATCACAACACTGCTGTGCTGACAGACAACATGAAGTGAGCTGATTGTCCACATGTTCGGTTACACGGTGTCCTTGTTGACCCTGCACTGGATGAGTTTGCATATACAGCAGTGACTGCAGTTTGTTTAGATTTGTTTCTTATTTTAATTCTCTCTCTCTCTCTTTTATTTAGAAGATGTCATAGTTTCAATAAATATTACTTGCACTTTGCTGCATATATGGTTGTTTTTTGTACATATTAAATCAACGGAGTGGCAGAAAAGTGACAAAGATGAAATGAGGCATGTGCAATTTCACATTATTGTCATTGATCCTTTAAATGTATTGATTGAATTGAAGTGTAAACCTCATCATATCAAAGAAGCATACACGTCTGATCCAGCTACCTGAATGTTGCTCTCTGCTTTGCTGATATCTGTTGGACTGGAGCATTTAGCCACATGGGTGAACTTTAAAGCTGCCATATTAGAATGAACAGTAACGGAAAGAAAGAGCTACAGGTTGAAAAGTTGAACCACTGTTTATGACTGTCGTGGCTGCATTTCAAGGTTGTACCTCGTTATTTACAACCAGGGCAGTTATGTTCATGTTTCGCTCCAGTCTATGTGGCAGCCTTCAGCCTGTGCAAAAACACACAAATACACATGCTAAAATTCAAACACATCATCTGCAGTTACTTCTCTCGGTGGAAAAGGGACACTGTTCAACACTGATCTCTGGCTTCAGGCTCTGAATTATTTACACCTGTATTCTGCTCTTAGTCATGTTGAGTGTGTACATCACATTAACCGAGTGAGAGGTCGACAGAACGGCCATCCTAACACCACTGTGTGTCCTCCTCCAATGAAAACACAAAGAATGAAGTGCGATATCTTTTTTCATGCTTTTTCTGATGGACCTCATTTTATGTCTTATTCGTTTCCATGTCAGCAAATTTCTCTTGTAGGAATTGTAAGAACCTACAGACCTGTGCAAACAAATTATTGGTAAGAAAATATCAGAGATGGATTAAGGGACAAAGACTCCCCATCCCTCCTACACAGGAGCACGCCCTCCAGACTAAAAGAGACACAACATGTTTTGTCTCTCTTTGTGGTCGTATTTTGGCCTTCATATTTGTATAATGGGTTTTGTCAGTTATCTTTTTCAATAATCTTGAAATAGAGCAACCAGGAAGTAATATTCTCATCTCTGGATCTATGTCCAAATACCTGTTCATGTAAATATTAGTGAAATATTAAATGGTTACCTTATATCAACTCAGCAGGCCTTTTTCAGGCACTGATGTGTTGTACAGTATTAAATCTGAGCTCACAACAGTTAAGTCATTGGCAGGGCAGTTTCTGCAGTTTATGTCCTGCTTCATCAGCTTTCCCCAACAACAACTTATTGGTAGAGACAGTTTGTTGGTGCCGGCCACATTCCTGCAGAGGGAGTATGGTAATTTAGCCTTACTGTTCTGAATACATTATCATACACCACGAGACTGTATGCATGACAAACCCTACACTGGCCATTCTCTCATAGCAGAGAACATGAACAAGTTGAGGTTTAATATTTCCAGTTTCTGCTAAGAGCAAACCTGTCATGATTATTCTAGACGTTCCTGCAGTTGTAAAGTGGTGGCTGAAATGTTCTTGAAGTGAAGTCTATTCGCCTGAGCTTTATTTTCAGAGTGGGAGTGGGACAGTAGGGCTGGAGAAAGAACATTTTCTCTTTTATGAAGTCAAAAGGATTCAAATGGTTCAGATTTCACAGTTTGATCTGTTTTCAATTATTGGGCTGGGCTGTGTGCAGAAGAAAATGCTGAACAGTTGAAATCTATGGAGGCAGTAGGTATGGAGGGAGCGAGGGAGAGGAGGAATTGGAATGAGAGACGAGGGGAAATGAAAAGAAAGAGGAGGAAGAGTCCAGGGAAAGGGGAGAGTCCCAGAGAAACAATTGGATTAGACAGAGAGAGAGGAGGAGAGCAGTGTTGGAGTGTTAGATAAATGGGCTGTTTATTTAGCTTTCACTGTGAATGAGGCAGGGTGTGATGATGTGTTGTCTCTCTCTCTATCTGGCTCTTTGTCCCTTGCCACGAGGTCAGGCTTTTTCAGTGTGTTCACGAGGCAAAATTGGCCATTCATTGCCGAAGGGTGGGTCATCTCGTGGAGTCCTAATGGCTTTCACAGCTGGGTCTCCTCCCGGCTCTCTCTGTCATCAAGTTTCATCCAACATCAAAAAGACACACCTTTCACTTGTCCCCCCCCCCCAAAAAAAAAGAAATCAGAGACTCTTGGCATCTCCTAAAGCTCCTAGTGATCACTTTTCCCAGCATATATGTTCTTCTAGACCTGCATTGCGTAGCAGCAGTTGCTCAGCCTTTCCAGGCAACCTGAGATAGTATATGTAGATCTTAAAGGAATCACGCCTGTCAAAGCAGCTGCTGGAGCTGCTCATCGCCAGCAGCTTTTGTTGTAGGAGCCACAAAGGAAAAGTTGGCCTGAATTCACTGGTATCAGATGTTATAATCCACTGCCTGCTCTGCTACAGTATGCAGAGTTCATTATATATTTCTACAGGTTCAAGGCGGTGTGTATTGGTTGCTGTCAAGGAACTCTGAACTAATTAAAACTCTTAACATAAGAAACATTTACACAAACTAATGTCTGCCCTCCTACTGTGGCATTAACACACAGACTGTACATGTATGAACTCACACACCATGTCCCTGTGTCTCATCCACTGGGGGACAGACCTGGGGGCTTCCCATAGAAAAGCTCTCTATCAGATATATACATTTATAAAACAAACCCGGTAGTTTTTTAGTAACTAAGTCCATTTACTCAACTAAAGCCAACGCTGTTTCCTCACAGTGTCCTCTGTTCTCTTCCAGGATCACTGGTTTTGGCGGGTGAGAGATAACTCGGTCATGCCGGGATACCCCATGCTCATCAGTGTTTTCTGGAGAGGCCTGCCACCCAAGATAGACGCCGTCTACGAGAACAGTGAGGGCAAGTTTGTCTTCTTCAAAGGTAAGGTTACATTCTTGGCCAGTCATCTTCATCCTGCAGACTTGAATCCGACACCAAATATGTGCCTGCACCATCCCACTTTACATCAGCTTCTCGTGTCATCTGTCCCACATAATATACATCCACAGGAAAACCTCGATACGGTCTTTGTACGTGGCTGTGTTGTATGAACTGTTTGTTGTAGCGTTAACGCCATAATTTAGAATTTACTCTCGTTGAAATGGGGCACCAGTCCTCTGGGAGGACAACAGTGAATTACTTCATTGCCAAATTTATCAATCTCATATCGGAAGCCATGACTTCTCGATTCAATGGATCTCCAGTCTCTACGTCAAAAGAATACAACAGGACAACAACTGGCTTTAAATGAAGGAGGTTATTAACTAAACTACTATCTACAGAGTAAATGCAAGGGATAATCATAAAGATGAAAATAATAATGAAATGAGCAGTGTGATGAGTTGGCAATGGTGGGAGAGAATATGTTATGGCTATACACTATGGCTATACAGCTAATGATGCTACATCTACGAATTAGATTTGATGATTAAATATTGCTATATTTCGACATCAACCCAGTCATGAGCAGAGTGTTAAGACCGGCCTACTGTGAGTTGCACTGTAGCTGAAGACCCTCGGCTGGAACCCAGGTGGCTGTGGTTGCTGTGGTAACCCTGGAGACGCGGGATCTAGGTGGATTCTCCTGGAGGCCGTGTCCCGTTATCACGATGATGGATTCTGCCGGTGTCTCAGCGGTTCAGCTCTGGTGGAGTTTGCCGGGAGACTTTCTGTCTCGGGCACTCTTGATTTCTGGTATGCTTCTCTGCATCTCATGAGTTACAGAACAGCTAGATATTTAATTTTACATTCTTCCTCAGATCTCTGTCTGTGAAGAGTGTTCTGCTGGTCACTACCCAGGATTGGAATGGGGGTTGTAGTTTATGACTCTTATCTAGAGAGGGACAGAGGAAGGGAGGTTGGTGTGTGTGTGTGTGTGTGCGTGTGTGTGTGTTCATGCATGGCACAGACAGGCCAGGATTCACACCTTAGTGTTAATCAGTCCTTTTGTTGTTACTTGTGCTATATAAGAAACAATCAAATAACATTAGACAGAGTCTTATTGTTACAAACTGGAGATTTTGCCTATATTCTCCAGTTGCCTGGTGTCCATTGTCTGATCCTCTGGAGCTGACCCTTTGACCTTTGGTCTGGTTCTGTGTTGTTCGGACATGCTAAAAGCATGGTCTGTTTGTGGAAGAGGGGTCTTTTGTATCTGTTTCCTATCAATTTGATAGTTTGATGGTGGGAAGAGTTGCAAAGTGTCAATTGTGGGTCCGTAACTCTGCATTTCCTTACAATGAACTTCCTTAGTGGCTTTTGACTGATGCCAGGCCAGGTATGTATGCTACAGTGTACATGCCTTTTTAGCATTCTTCACACATTTTCTATACGTCTGCCTGTAGTCAGAAACAGACAGAGGGATTTTATCTTTAATAACTGCTGTATATTATCATGCTCACTCAAAGAACTGCATTGATTTTATCTGTGTGTGAGTCCAGTGTAAATCTGTGGAGGATTAAAGCAATGTTTTGCTCACTTGGTTGGAAAATCCACCATAATCCACCAATTCTGACATTTAATAATGCTAGTGTTAACGTTAGTGCTGCTGCTGGTAGTAGTAATATATTTCACTTTAATACTTCAACTGTAGCTAAACGTAATGAGCATGCGTAGCTTTTTGGAAATGACAGTCACAGCAGGAGCAAACTCATTACTTATTGTCAGTGTTTGATGATCCCTGATTCTGATTTCTCTACCTTTCTGAAATGATTTGTAACATATTCAAATGTAGACAAAGCTGGCCCCAAAACACAGAGTTTTAAAGCTAATTATGTCTAAAGCCACAAAGCCACTTGAAAGAAGCAGCACACAAACATAGCAGCGCCGTAAACCTCTATTTGCATACACTCCAGAGAGGAAGAGTCAGACACAGACTGAGACTGAGGGTGTTGATGAAAGGAGACGTAGGTAAGCAATGAAAGTCTGCTGGGATAAAAACTATGAATCTTCACTCAAAGCCATTTCTATTTTCAACTCCAAACAATTCCTGGAAATGCAGACGACTGGTCCCGTGTGCGCCTCAAGCTCTGGAAGTTTGAGTTTCTCCACCCTGCTCTCTTCCCAAGCTGGGATGGCACACAGATTTAGAAAATCCAGTATGCCATTCTTCATCTGAACATGCACAGCTGATTTCCCAGAAGGCCTTGTTCTGCCTGTCCCCATTTGGAATAAAAAATTAGGAGGAAAGTTAGTCCGAAAACAAACTGCAGCAGCAATCAAGGTCCTGGTCCAACCAGCTGGTTTGAATAACAGTTCCTGGTCTGATGAATTCTCCTTAAATAAAAGCAAAGATTGAGGCTTTACAGTATAGTTTGCACTGAAGTCATTGTTGAGACACTCATTAGCTTAGTGCTGTTTAGGCATCACAGAGCAGGTCAGGGAGCTCATACCGCTGGCATACATTAGAAATAAATTCTGCATGTGTTTTTCATTCCTAAAGTGCAGCCTGGTGCCAATATTCAGTCAGTATTTTCCTGTTTCCATTCTCCTCAGATCCTGGATATGCAAGTACAGCTCATCAACCTGTTGTCTGCGAATCAGCCTGAATGTCTTTGCACAATCACCATTCACAGCTCAGTAACAGCATGCAGCCAGATTAAAAGATGTGCATGTAGAAATGTCAGAGCTTGATTGGTGCCTTTGTGTCAGGGGACAGACAGAGCTGCTCACTTCATTTACCTCATGCAGGCATGTCTGAGAGAACTGACTGATGAATATGTGTACATCAGGAGATAGTTCAGTATAGTAAATGCAAAGGAAGGTTTGAGGCCATTTAGAGTCTCAGTATCAGTATCTGTTTACACATCTGTCAAGCATTCGATTTTTGCCTTAACACATTTTGAGTTGACCTGTTGACCTGTCCTTAAAATTCTACACAATACGCAATGGGTCCTTGATTTCACACAGAAGCAAAGTAAGGCAGGCCTCTGGTTTCAAGCTGAGGATGGAGGGTGAAGTCGACTGCAATGACAACTGACGCTAGCAGATTTTATCAGGGTAGGCATTCGATTCCAAGGCTCAGGAGTAGGTACATGTCACATGACATCTAAGCCACCTTTATATATCTGTTGAATGGGTCTGAAAGCTGAAATGCGTTCCTTTATTTTAATGTGATGACAGTACTTTCTTTCATAAAAGTCAGCACCAACGACATGTTTACAAAATACAGCTCTGAGTACATAAAAAGTTGGTTATGTTGTAATATGTTTGTGTTTATGTCATTTCAGCCCCTGAAAGATTGAACTCGTTGTTAATGTATCAGTCAGAACCATTACTTCACATATAGGCACCTCTTGTAGATAAGAGAGGTCGAGGACAACAGAAGGAGGCAGATTTAGCTAGTTTACATGAGTATAATCATTTCAGATCTTACAGTCAGAGACAGCTTTCTAACATCAGCAGAGTCCAGCAGAGTAACTTAAAGAGCCAGAAACTATGAAGCAAAGTGAATCTGTTGTGACTATAGCACAGAATAAGATGCTGATGCGTAACATTGATGTTAAATTTAAGCTCCTGCACTGCCCTCCCCATCTGAGGTGAGAGGCCATATACTTGATGGTTACATACGTTGATGCCGATGCTGCATGTAACATAGAGAAAGGTCACAATAAAGGATAACTGTCAAGTTTGGCAAACATGACCGCTTCTAACGTGAGTTTGACTTTGGACGTAGGAGTGTGAGCTTTCCCAAACCAAACGAAGATCACGACAGTACTGCTAATGTTATGCTAAACTCTGAAAGATTATCATTCTGACTGCCACACTGTGGATGTTCCAGTCCTGAACAGGTGTTTTCTAACATGCTGTGACCTGTAAATCAACATTATACTGTAGTTAACAAATATATGCTTCTTGCCTTTGGAAATAGAGCAGGTTTGTCACTGTAGGTAATGAACTAGTTCACAAGCTCGACATTATTACACTGTCACGCCTGTATTTGTAGTTTGGTACAGGCTTAAAAAAAACTTGTGTGTGTGTGTGTGTGTGTGTGTGTGTGTGTTTGTGTGTGTGTGCGTGGCCTGACTATGGAGGAGGAGGGGTCTCTTTTTGGAACAAATCTTCATCCCATACAAGACTCTTTATACACTCTTCATGGATTAGTCATTACACTGCAGCAGATGCTGGATCTGCTGCTACATCAAAGCAGCCCTCCCAGCTCTGAAGATGAAGCCAGACTTTTATGGAAGGGGGGACTCTACAAGTCAACTCTGGTTTAATAATAATAAGAAAACAGAAAGGAGAATCCCATTTTATGTTGGATAGAGAGGGAGAGAGAAAGAGCGGCGCTTCCAGTAATCTCTGCTCAGAATTCTTCTTTTCCTTCTGAATTAAGTTGAACTCTTCTTGGGATGGGAGACTCTTTTAATCAGGGTGTGGTGTGTGTGTGTGTGTGTGTGTGTGTGTGTGTGTGTGTGTGTGTATGTGTGTGTGTGTGTGTGTGTGTATGTGTGTGTGTGTGTAAGTGTGTTTGTGTGTGTGTGTGTGTGTGTGTGTGTGTGTGTGTGTGTGTGTGTGTGTGTGTGTGAGAGACCCAGAATGAGTGGAGCGATGTCAGAGTAAGAGGTGAAATGACAGAAATTTCCTTTCCAAAAAGAGGTTACTACAGGTCTTCCCCCCTTTAAATTAAACCAGCCTCTGATATAAGAGAAGGGATATTTGCATTATTTCACACCCATTCTCTCTGTTTGTTTAAGAAAGGCGAGCAGGTCATAGTAAAGCTGATGGTGCAGAGGTTCAGTTAAGCCATCCGTGACTGAAAGCACCACTCTGATGTGTTGAATTCTCTGTTTTCTTTGGAAGAAAGTTGTTCACGGTCACAAATATTGATCAAACTTTTCAGAAACAAAGCTTTGTGTGGTCAGTGCTAGAGTTTATCTATTATTCAAACATTAAAAATGGCTCATTAAAAAGGCTGGTTAGATACACAGAGTTATATGTAGCATGTTGTGTATTTATATGCTACCTTCCTTCATCTCCAAAAGTCACATTGGCACCAGCCCTGTTCTCCTGCCCTCAGCCTCTTCATCTTCTCTGCTTGGTTTCCATTTTTATGAGTTTAAATTGCAAACAGAGACAGATTTTTTGGCAGTGCTGAGATTAATGAAAGACTGTGTAGAAATGTATTTCTACTTTACACATATTATCATCTTCATAGTTTTTGTATAAAATATAGAATAATTACAGACATAGGTTTCATTCCAATGATTCATCAAATAGAATGATGATAAAATATAAAAAAAATCTGACATGAGTCAGCAAAGAGTAACAAGACAAAATATTCTAAAAGGATATCAAATATTTTGTTTTTCCTTTCTCTGACTTCGTCATTCCACCTCATTCTTTTCGTTTTCTCTTGTAACACTCCCCTCCCACTTCCTCCCAGTCTGCCTGCACCTCTACCAGTGACAAAGACGAGCACTTCCTGAGGTCACACCATGTCAGAAACGTGCTGCGTAACCTAGTCACTGCACAGGAAGGAGGGAAAGAGGTTTACTGAGAAAAAGGTGGAGCGGTGAACAAAGAAAGAAACAAGGAAGACTCACTAAATAAAATAAGATAAAAAAATAGAAGATTTTAAATATTTTTCACACAGCTCCCAAAATGTCTGAGAGTTAAGGTATGTAGCTACTTGGCTTCCTGCAGCAAAAAGTTTTAATCTTATTGTTTTGGTCACCAGTTTTCCACAAGGGTCACTGCTGTTTGGTTTTTATCTCAGCTGAACAGTTACTGGTTCATTTTGGCAGCACTGAACAGATCCCAGAGTACCTCTCAGCAAGGGCAAGGAGAACTTGTCACTGCATCTGTGTCCTATTTTAAAAGAGGGAAGCATCAACATCAAATACTGTAATACAAGGCAACAGGTTATTGCCTGCCGTTTTTTAAAAGGCTTGTGTCTGTCCTTGCAAATCTGCCCTTCTCCTGCGTTTGGCTCCTGGAGGGTAATCCCTGCTGTTACTTGTCCTTCTTTTAATTTATTTTCCCTGTCTTTCTCGATATGCAGGAAAGCAGTTCTGGGTGTTTAAGGACACAGTGTTGCAGTCTGGATACCCCAAGGACATCACCCAGTTCGGCCATGGCATGCCAGCGCAGAGCATCGAGACCGCTGTGTGGTGGGAGGATGTGGCCAAGACCTACTTCTTTAAAGGGGACAGGTGGGAGCACAAGACACCTTAAAAAAAAACTTAAAACTGGACTTGTCTTTTAAGATATGATCGTGAATTTATTGTGTGTATACTGTCATACAGAGGGTATGATTTACTTTGTAGAACCACAAATACAAGCTTAGCTCCTGAATATTAATGTCAACCCAGCAACACTGACTTTACGTGAGCACCATTCAATCTGTGTAGTTCAGTTCATTTTTGAATAGTTCTTATACTTAACCACTGAAGGATAAAGCTGAGGATATTCTATTGTTCTTGTTGTTAACAAATCTCATGAAAAGACTAAACCAACACAGACTGTCTCCTACTAACAAGTCCTGTGATATATCTTTTTCCTCTGAGGCACAGACCTCCATTGTTTCCAAAAACAATTAAAACACATCAGTGAGCCACACTGTTGCTCTGGGTGACATGTTCTTTCATTACCATGAGCACACACACTGTAGTTTATTTTGACTCAGTCCCTCACACCATCCTGTTTTTAGAGATTTACGTCTTCAGTAGGAACCAACGGGCTTGGAGCTGAGAGCCACAGTTAGAGAAGTTAGAAAGTGCTATGAGACAGACTGATTCACTGCTGTTGTTTTTTTGTTTTTTTTGAAGGAAATGTTATAAGAATGATGAAAGAATAATGCTACAAGAAAAAAATATCACCAGACCTGTCACATTTCTGTTCCCCAAATGTTGGCATAGGTTAGGCAGCGGTTGTCCACAGGCTGAGTGCTGTCCTCAGCCCTGATTCTATTTGGTGTTTTGACAATGGTGCTTAAAAACACAAACCCAATTCAGTGACCCCTCTTCTCTATGGATGGAAGATTACGTTTTTGCTTTAATGTGTATTTCCTGGATCTCTAGTGTGAAAAGGGGTTTTAGAGTAAATGCTAGACCACGTTAGAGTTTCGAGAGAAAGGTTCGATATCAGCCTTGTATTAAAGGCTGTGTGCTGCCCAGTGGCTGTCTTCCCTTCCTGGTATAACAGATTCATTCAGTTTAATTCAGATACACTCATCTATGGGAAGCCCTTAATCTGACATGTGGTAGTGAGACACTACATATGAACACAAACAACCATCTGTTGTCAATTTCAACCTATTGACTACAGCCTTCATACACAGACAGTACCTGCTTTGTCTTCCTGTGGCTCATCATTTGTTCCTGTTTAGGTACTGGCGCTACAATGAGGATATGAGAACCATGGACCCTGGCTATCCTAAGCCTATCACAGTGTGGAGAGGTGTGCCTGACTCGCCACAGGGGGCCTTCGTCGACAAAGCCAATGGTACGATTTGTCCTGCCCAATACTCTGATTTGGCAATAACAGCATGGTTCATGAGCCAGGCAGCATTGATTTCAGTTGGTCACTGGCACAGGCTGTGGGGAGGTAAACCAGGGTGGCATCGATTTGAAATTTGCCCCAGTTACCACACTGAGTCTTAGTGGGTGGCACACTTCCATACATGCAATACCAGGGGAATAGACTGATGTAGAGTGTTTGTATATTTGAAATGAAAGATGAAAAGAGGTCAATTCATCCAAACATGCCTCTTTTTTTTGTTTTTGAATTGTTTCACAATCAAAATGTTCCACAATCAGTCCGTCCTGCTCAGTGAGCCATGAGACCCAGTTGGAGCAAGACTGTGGAAAGCAGAAAGGACAGGACCACCGCTGGGCGCCCATTCCGGTTTAAGCCAGTTGGGCTTCACGAAGGGTGAGGAGGCGGGATTTATACCTTGCAAAGAGCTCACCCATTGGCCGCTCAGATAGTGTGAATTGGAGACCAGCTTTTCCCATTGGATGTATTTTGCCAGGTGGGCCTGGACCTGGTCTTGGCAACTCCCAGGTTGGAAAAAGCAGGGCAGGTGGTGCTGAACGCTCAGGCCATCTGTGTCCTGGATCTGCTGCCAGATCCATAGCCGGGTGTGTCTGCCGGTGAGGCCAGGTTGAGCGGGCATCAATCAGAGCATGAAGGGTGGATTGATATCCAAGGGAATGAGGCGTGTTTGTGTGCATCACATGTATTTTCATGTGCTGGCCTGTGTTTGTTTGGCTGTTTGCAGAGACACTGTGTCAAGTGGCACGCTCATAACGCTGACCCAGATAAGCAGACATAATTGAGTATGCTGCGGCTGATGACTGTGTGTGTGAGGGACCGTGTTTCAGAGCAGGAGCCCAAGGGCTATGTTGACCCGGCTCTAACCCACAATAGCACAGCCCGTCTCACCTCTCACCCCTCCACCCCACCCTCATCTCATGCTCACTCCAGCACTGTATGTTTGTGCTCTGTCCGTTGCTACATCTGGGTCTTTCTGTCTCTAAATAATCACAGTTTCGCTTCATTTGTGTTAAATGTTGGATTAAAGTGTGGCAGAAGCTGCTGCCACGTTGGAAACACAAAAATCCCTATTTCTTCAGCTAATCACAATACTCTTGTGTTTTATGGCTGACACTACCACAAGTTGTAGTGTGAAAAATACAGTGTCGTAAACATTAAGTTTTACAGGTTGTAACAGGCAAGTTTTAATCCTGGTTTCTCATCTTCTCATGTAACTCTCAGCATAGAAACAGATATGTGTATTTCCCAAAATGTTAAATCTTTTTTAAGGATCTCTGTGATTTCCTGATGTTAAATTAGTTGCAAGATGTCAGCTACATATGAACACAATCTGGTGGACACCAAAAACACCAAAAACAAAACTTTATTACAGAGTTCTATCAGATGTCCTCTGACTTTGCTAAAAAAAACAGCGCTTGATGTTTTGTCACAGACAGAAACTCATATTAGATAGGAGTTACAGATGAACTAGATTACATTACAGTTATCCTGTGAACATTGGAAGACCCCAGTCATTTCTGAGTTTCTCCTCTGTGGAAGCCTTTGTGCTGTTTGATCATTTCCTCTCCCACCCAGACAAATCTTTTAAAATTTTGTCCCGTGCTTCTTCATATCCTCACTAGAAACATCTCCTCTTAACTGATTTAAGAAGCTCTGGCTTTGTTTCTCTTCAGCTCTCTCACCATCTGACTTGAAGTTTAGAGCGTTTCCCTCCCTCATAAGAAGAGGAGAGTTTTGCATGAATAATAAATCGCAGGAGACAAGGTGTAAATGAAAGGGGAGATCCTGAGAATTCAGCTAAGCTTTTTGACTCTGAGCTCAGTTTTACACAATGTACTGTGTGTTTTCCCAGCAAGCATTGCAGGGACAGTCACATGCAGGAGGCAGCAAAGTCTAGTGTCAAAACTAATGGACACAACCCTTTAAACAAAAACTTATTATCATGGCACAGGAAAGAATGTCATGGACAATGTCACATGTCACTTGACCACCTTTTTATTCTTTTTTTAACCATTTATTAAATATAAAATGTGTTTTCATCACTGATTAATCAAGGGATTATTTTTCCATGAATTATTTTGTCCATGAATGTAAGAAAATTGTGTAAAATCCACGTTACAATTCCCCACAGCCCAAAGATGTTCAGTTTATTATCACATTATTATCATTGGTCAGACTAGTGCGGACTAGAGAGACCAATACATGATGAACTGATGAAGCCGCTTGGATAAGAGGCGAAACGTCTTCCACAGACAAATACAAGTCCAGTTGCCTTCGATTTAATTTGAGAGAGAAATAACTATGACCTGGACGAATGAGAACATTCACAGACATGACAAATAAAGCATTACATTTTCACATTTGCGAAGTTTAAAATAGTTATTTTGTAATTTGCTTGAAAAATGATTGAAACAGTTCATTGATTATCAAAATAGTTATTGATTATGTTTTCATCAATCAGCGTTTCTAATGTGTATGACTCTGATAGAGAAATATTTTCACTTCTGTCACCATTGGCACTGCTTTCTTCACAATCAAAGACAGAGGCACAAGTGTTTGTGAAATGATTCTCAATCAGTGAGTGCCTCACTGTGTAATGTAGTAATTTGTGTGTCACTGGGAGAATTGGCCACACATTCCTGTTAAAAAGCCGTTCACTCTTGTGATTTGAAGAGCACCACAGCAGCTTGTTTCTCAGTGACATTTGTTGTGCTGTTGTGTGATGTTAGCTGTGGGGTTTGGCTCCTGTGTGTTTTTTGGTCTATTATGACCAGATACAATTAGTCCTAGGGGACAGTGCAATGGCGACAGGCACCATTTGTGGAACGGTTTGAGGTGACCCCGTTTTTCCTGTGAAGAGTAAAGGGAAAGTTTCTTCAATATTTTAATTAGAAAGAAAATGAATTTGAAGTGAGCTGAGCTATAGCCTGCTTGGCAGACATGTGAACAACCTACAACACTGACAGGCCACCTGCCAGATAAAGTCAATGAACCCATTTCACTCTGAGGTGTTTAGCAGAAATTATTGGAAAATATTTTTGGCCAGTTTGAATCATTAATGCTTGGAAATTACCCAAAAAGGCTCCAGAACTAAGATCAGTCCTGAAACATACAGGTAGTTAAGTACTGTAGAGTATTTTTCCTGCGTTACAATTGCACCCCACTGCATTTCAGTGGGATATACTTTTCACTGCTCTACATGTATTTGACAGACCTGACCACTTTACAGATAAAGATTCTTACATAGAAAACATGTTGCATATTTAGATTTAACTACCAAACCATATATAAAGCAGCACAATTAGCTCATTAAAATGCTGCTTACACTGAATAGAATCTTCTTTCATATATTTGCTCAACAAGACACTTGGTGACACCAACTGGTGACTTTCCATCAAGTGTCATTGTTTTATCCAGTTTATAGTAAAACGACAGTGATGGCTTGTTGTCCAGTGACAGCTTAATACCAGCTTATTATATATATACAGCAGCTGCAAACCTTGTTTGTTTATTTTTATCTCCAGTGTGCTCATCTCAATGCAGTGATGTAGAGGTGTACTCCAGGGTGTGTCAGCACATTGTGACATCACTGTTGGGTGGGGTTACAGGTGAAACAGAGCACACCTCTGCCAACACCCAACCATGCCATCAGTGATGTTAGGGTACTGTGTAAATCATCTTCTCTATCGACAGATCACTCTGCACTCACAGATTTCTGCTCCCTGTGTTTCTCTGCCTCAGGTTTCACCTATTTCTACAAGGGGAAGGAGTACTGGAAGTTCAACAACCAGTTCCTCCGGGTTGAGCCGGGCTACCCGCGCTCCATCCTCAAGGACTTCATGGGCTGTGAGCTGACGCCCATTGACCCAGCCCGCCCACCAGCCGACGACGGCAACACAGACGTGGTGATCGAGCTGGACAACGAGGCCAACACGGTGAAGGCCGTCGCCATTGTCATCCCCTGTGTGCTCGCACTGTGCCTACTGGTGCTGGTCTACACTGTGGTGCAGTTCAAGAGGAAGGGTACGCCACGCCACATACTGTACTGTAAACGTTCCATGCAGGAGTGGGTCTGAAACATCGGAAAGAGACGAGAGTGTGGGAGGAGAGACTGGTGAAAACAGGATGACGGCCCACACTTTCACAGAGAGGAGGACAGTGGACTTTGGACATCTTTAGTACAACACACAGCCACACGTCCTCCGTTTGGGTGATCTGATAGCTTTGTTCAGACCTGCAGAAACAGCCAGACAGCCTGTCGGCAGCCCTCAGACCTAAAGCTGACTCCAATAACCCCCGGCCTTTTTAACAAATTGGGGGGCAGAAGGACAGTTTGAGGGGGATCTTTGCCTGAAATGACCTTCAGTCCCAGTCAAAGAAAAAAAAAAGAAACAGGAGGGTCGGCATCACTTTGTATCTCAGACACATGACTTCCTGTCCCCTTCCTTTTTTCTTCTATGCTCGACTGCTCTTAATCAGAGTGAGGACTTTCAGGGGGACACGCTCTCTTCCCACAGGGCACTGCATTTCATCTGTCATATCAGGTTGTTGATTAAACAACAGTTTTCTATTCTCTGATCTTGGTGCCCCCACTTCATTCTGCACTCAAAAGATAAAGTCTCAGATAAACCACCTAATTACATTACCAGTCTTCAATCCTGATTCTTTTAGTTTTTTCGTTTTTTTAAAATGTCAAAATTTTTATTGTATTCTTTAGAGAAAGGAGGTCCTCACTGTTCCCTTTAACACACTCCTGAGGAAGAGACCAAACGAAACCAAATAAAATCTATTTCTCTCCAAAGAGGATCACATTTTATTTTCTTTCTTTTTGTTCTCATTTCTGTTCATCCTTCCTTCCCTTCTCTGGATCTTTGCAGTGATTAAGAGTCGGGGATCTCTGACTGTTGTGGCAGTCTGTTCGAGACAGGGGCCAAATTATTCTGCAATATTTTAACTCGCCTTAATTATAGATCATACTACTTGTACTTGGTTTTTGCTGTTCTTGGTGTGTTTTTTTTTTTGGGGGGGTTTTTTGTATACTGTTCTTTTTTTGTTTTTTTTAAAGAAGCTAATTGAGAGCTTCTTGTGATTGGTATTTCTGGATTCTATTACGTTACACAGAGATCTCAGCACTGGCTTGCTGAGCTAATCTGGACAGGATACACAGTGGGGTCAGCCTGTATTCAGACTAACGTGTTGTATCGTAACAAGATGTTGGAAGGTTCTGGAGTAAAGCCACTATTTTTGTGTGTTAAGATTTTTTTTACTTTTATTATTTCCATATGACACAGGCTCATCTAGGACTTAACAGTCTTGTTATTGGATTTGCTGATGTGATTTCTTTTGTCATGTCCTTGGCCCATGCTCCTTAGTTTGAAGACATGTGCATCCAGAGAGTTAACTCTGTATGGTTATATGTGAATGGACAGACCATTTTTTAAAAGAAATCCTGTTGACTGCCTTGTTTGAGAGAGCTCACAGTTCCCAGAATGCTCTTGTCTCCTGACTGAGGACCCACAAAGTGAGACACCAAGTCAACATCAGTGCCTGTGTCAACATGCATGCAAGCATTTACTGTACAAGCGGTTCTGCTCAACATGGCTTTGGATCCCCTCAAAAGCTAAGGAGGAAGTTTTCTCTTGAAGATGTTTTCATTTATTTTTGTACATTTAAGTGTAACACCCCCCTCCCAGGTACAATTAACTCTAAAAAAAAAAAAAAAAGATTCAGGTGGTACATCTTTGGGAGATGTGATGGTTGATTGGCAAATGAAATTGGCCTCGAACACCAACCAATCATTAGCAAACATGTTGTGTCCTCATTGTCATGGCGAGCCGTCTTTGAATGTGTGTCTGTTTTCATGATCAAATGCTGTTTTTTCTTTGTTTCCTGTTTTCTGGCTAAAACAATTGGACATCTCACAGTGACTTCTTTGTGTAAGACTTTGGGACAACGGAGAAACATGACCTGACAGAATGAATAAATTGATCAATATATGATTAACAGCTGCTGTCCAACTCTCTGTTCATCTTTTAACTTGTACATAGAGCATGTCTGCGCTGTTTATACATGTATGTTGCCTGTCTCTGACCCTGCTGGGTGTTTGACTGGGATGATGTCCTCCCTGCAGCCCTGTGGTAGTTTTGAACACGTCCAGGTAGAGGAAGCTGCTCTCTGAAACTCTGCGTGTAACTGTCAGTGTAAAGCAAACAGGACAGTCCTCTTATCAATTTACACCTGAAGATACCAAGAGAGTAATACAATAATTAGAATTATCAGTCACATCACAAAAACTCCAGTTCCTAACTTCATAGTTTTATTTTAAAAAAAGGACTAAAACGTTCGATTTGTGTTCAGTAACTTGAAATTTTCTGTCAAGAAATAGCCTTGACATCCTAAGAAATATGTTTATTCATTTTCTCTTACCAAGAGCAATATCAGAAGTTTGGTACCACTCTCATGTCCGTCTAAATATAATGTAAATATGAAAAAAAAAATGTTCAGCTACTGTCACCAGCTGGTTTACTTAGCATAAAGACCGGACACAGAGGGAAACAGCTAGCCTGGCTCTGTCCAAAGGGAACTGAATCCACTGACTGTACCAGCTCCTCTGTCTCACTGATCACTGTTCTAACTTGTCTGATGCATAGCAAACCAAAGTCTGAAAACTCCAGTTTTCTGGTTTCAGTACTTTTGTCACTGTGAAGTTACCAGGCAATCAGCCAAGACACCTGGGCTGCAGTCGAAAAGTCAAATTAATCTCCTTTCCTAACCATTTCCACATCCAAGAGTGATTTATTCATAACACTTGGGCAAAAAATACTCCTCTGCTAACTACAAAAACAAACAGGGTTGAAATGTTGAAATAAGATAACATGAAAGAAGAATACAAATATAGAAAGTTGAGCCATTAAATAGTAATTTAATAGAAATAAGGAGCTGAGCAAGGGATCAGAATAAATAATATTCAGACATAAGTGTAAAGAGTTTCCAGGCATGGGTGCATTTGACATTTTTCCACAGTTTTTAAGTAGAGAAAATTCACTTTTAGTGCATTCCACAATTGGAGGGGATTTAGTGACACAACATTTATGTATAGGCTATAGTATTGTGTTATAATGACGATATTGTTAACTAGCAATTCAATATGCTTGTTCTTTGAGATGACTCCTAACCAGACAGATTTGAAAGAGAAGAAATCTATATTTATGGATTTGGAGTTCAGCCGATCATACAATGCAAGTTTTGCATTGTGTCACAAACATGAAATAGGTGTTCTGATGTCTCTACATTTATGTGGATCTTCCTTCACTTTGGAGTTGACAAGTATCCCAGAAACATTAACCAGTGATGATGGTGGAGGTTTTGAGTCAGACTTATAATTATCACTCTGAGACTGTTTTTATGCCACTATATTAAGTTTAGATATTTTTCAGGTGATATGGTGATGGTTCACATTTACAGAATGTGCTCTAACAGCCCAACACCTGGGTTGACCTTTTGTGGTCATCATCCTGTGGAGAACCTTCTTATCTTAGCAGCTCTTTGAGGTCTTTGGTGTCAGCATGTGCGTGGAAAAGTAAAGCTTCGATCATGTTTTTATTGGATAGTTTAACAACAGAGCTGCTCTGTGAAGCTTCGGGCTCTTTAAAACTACAGATTTCACCACATTTTAATCAAAATAAGTACATGTATATGAATGAAAAATAAACACAGGCAGTACAGTCTGTATAAAATCAGCTTTAATCTGCATTGTGGCTGGATAACATGTATCTTCTGACTGCATCCCTCTCTCTGTCAGGTTACTTTTTCTAAGGAAAAAGTCTGTGAGTGGAGCTTTAAGTTTAGATCATTTAGTCTCAGTACAGTCAGGTACAGGTTACTTAAGGTGTAATCATCAGAGCTGAGCTGTTCTAACTGTAAATAGTCTTCATGTCCTCTTGGTGTACTCTGCACTGAGAAAGGTCTTACAGTCCTCCACATAAGCTCCAATAAAACCAACAAGATATAATGTGATAGTTAGTGAACTTTAGAGTTGCTGGACTTTGTTAACCCTAGAAAGAGCTAGAGTAGCTGTATGCTAAGCTAACCAGTTGGTGGTTGTAGTTCAATGTTTTAGAATACAGACATGAGGGTGGTATTGAGCTTTACATCTAACCATCTGCAAGAAAGTAAATTTATTAAAATGTATATCCATAAAGGACAGTTGGCTGAAGGTAGTGCTAACTGTGTCCTAGCATCCAGAGCAAACAGTACAGACAGAGGCTGTCATTCAGTAAATAAGGACATCAGCTAAAACCATGGTGAACTCTGAACCCCAGAGATTAAAGAAGCCAGCTGGGGAAAGGAAAAATAAAAAGGAGAAAACTGTGTCTCTGTTGATCTGGGCCCTGAGAGCTCAGCAGCCCTCTCTGTATTGTGTGCTGCTGTATTTTTGGGTGGCATGATAAAAATCAGTGCCTCAGATGTACGATCCCGGTGGTGCACTGCTGGCTTTTATTGCGGAGTGGATGTGAAACAGGAGCCGTCTACAGCCTGCAGTGTTTATTCTAGCTTTGCTGGGACACATTTGACATACAGTTACTGACAACAAAGACAGTGAGGTCAAGCCAGTTTACTGACTCTGGTCACTGAGTCTGTGTGTGTGTGTATGTGTGTGTGTGTGTGTGTGTGTGTGATGAAATTACACTCTTATCTTAGGGATAACACTTCATTGGTTCTCATCACAGAACTGCTCAGTGATGGAACTGCCTCTCTGCTTTTACACAAAGGCTTTATACATTCAGCTATGTTTAGCCTGGTGCTTTCTCCTGAGGCTCTTACTTATTGTCTCTTCTCCCTCCATCCCTGTAAATATAGACTGTGGGTGTGTGGGATTGGGTTCCCACTCACACCTCCCAGGGTAGTGTGTACTGTATGTACCAGGCCTCTAGCAGTGATACAAGCAGTTTGGTGCTAAAATGTCACTCTTCCTTTAGTTTGTGTGTGCATGTGTGAGTGTGCACGGAGCAGAGTGCACGGAGCAGAGAGCAGTGTGGGTGTTAAAGAAAACAAGTAATAAGTTGGTCTACAAACCCCATGATGCTTCGCCTGCCACGGTCTATCTCTGTCTGGTTTATAATAAGTAAATCTCTTTCTGCTTCTTGACCCTGTGCATGCTTGCTGGAATGTGTGTGTGTGTATGTGTGTGTGTTTTTTTTGTGTGTGTGTGTGTGTGTGTGTGTGTGTGTGTGTGTGTGTGTGTGTGTGTGTGTGTGTGTGTGTGTGTGTGTGTGTGAGCATGTCAACATCACAACTGGAGCCTGGACAAACTCTGAGGGCCCAGCAGCCTCTTCTGTGTCTGCCAGGCTAAAACACTGGTGCTTAACTGACCAACACTGGCCAGGTGCTATTTTTGTCAGCCCCCCTCCTCCCCCTCCTCCTGCCTTCATTGGGTCAAAACATGAGTAATTACTTTGTGAACCAAAGTAATACATTTTCATTTAACCCTCGTCCAGTATCATGTACTGCCTAATGGCATTTCTTCAGTTAAGGACCGTACATCCCAGTGTTGGTTATTAGCGCAGCACAGCGAAGCAGCTGAAAGGAGCTCGCTGAAGGTCAGCAAGGGTAAAGTGCCCTCACCTGGATGAAAAAGGTGAAGACATATAAAAGAGACACTCACAGAGATTAATGGTTGCTTGTGCTGTGTTTTGCAGCAGGAAGCCAATGGATCATTCACGTTGTACTATCAATTCTTCCCATTTTCTGTTCTGTGTTTGTTGAGTCATTTAATGTTTATAGTGCATGTGCGTGGCTTCTCAGAATCTCCTTTTCAGCTCAGTTTAGCAAAACTCCTCCCTGGACTGAACTGCATAAGTGGACACAGCAGGTCTGTCAAGCTTTGCTTTTTTCCATGTTGCCGCTGTAGTAAGAGTTCGGTTCTACATTGAAAGAGCTTGGAGGGTGGTGTTTTTCTCTTAAGCCTCTCTGAAACCAAAAACACCGGAGAAAAAGTGTAAGGGTTGGATTAAACAGTGAGTCTATCTGCACTGACTTAAACTGCACTCATTGCCATATCCAGCTAATGAGTGTACTTATACGGTGGCAATCAAGAGTTGATTCAGACAGTTAATCCCTGTCCACAACTAGCACATCTACTGTTGTATTTCCTCTCTGTGTGGATGCCAGTTCTTGATCATAGTTTAGGCTAACGTTGGCAGAAGAAGCAACCCCAGCTAGACTCTTTTTCTGAGATTACAGTCGGCAGTCCTCCTAGAAACCTCCTGTTATGTTGAAAGATGTTTCCATTTTGTCTTGTTCATGCTTGTGTTCAAGCATGGTCCTGACCCACTGCCACTCCCTGCAGGGATACTTTTGTTCACTCAGTGTTGACATGACAGGTTGACAGGGAAAAAGTAACAGATGATCAAGAAACACTGGGTTTACAGCTATACCTTCTGCCATCTGTATGTTTTGTTGACTTGTTTTTCCAATTTTTTGCATTACCAGTTTGATCATATGTCAGCCTATAACGTAATTCCTCCCACATCCATTCAGAGATCTTCCATCATTCCTTCAATGACCTAACAGAGTCATGCCATGATTTTTTCTTTTTAGAGAGATAGAATAGTTACTGTCACCATGTGGAGTATGACAGATGAAAGCCATCTCCCAATCTCCATCAGGTCCATTCAAAGGCAGACTTTCTGCAGCCCTAATCCACCTCTGAGAGCTCAGGAGG